AGCATCAGCACTACAAACAACCTTCACGTTGACTTGACTGCTGTTCAAAGAGAGTTATTTGAGATTGATATCACATGACAAAAGCTCTTTTAATGCATGGAGATGTAAACTGTAGATTACAGCGCTGGGCTTTGTTAATGTGCTGTCATTGTCTGCTGGGCAGATTAATGATAAAGGCTATTGTCTTTCCTGGGCGCGGTGCTTCTTTACAGCTCCTGAACAAGTTGCTGTTTGTGAGGAAATAGAAATCACAATTTAATATTCCTCCAAAGTGGTCCCGGCAGAGATACAGCTCTTTGTTCTTGGTAATGATCCAGTGTGGAGATGAATAGAAAGGCTGAGCTAACACTAATGGGAGCGTTAACAGGTCGCTGCGGCATGCCGCCCATCCTCTGACTGTTGCTACAGCAACAGAAAGTGCCGCTCTAATAGTGATGATGGTTCAGACCTGACCAGTGATGGAGGATGGACTTCAACAGAAACATACTAGTTTTGTGCAGTGGTTGTGTTGGTCAGGGTGATTTGATTGATTTGATTGGCTGCATTGATTACGTTTCTATGGCAGGTTTCACTGAGGTTGTATAAGGGTTTTGAGGTTGTGAATGCATCCGCGCTGTGTTTATTCTCTCGAATCATTTTCTTATGTATCAATAGGCCCATCTATCATACTATTTAATATAGTCCATATAATAATGTGCAGAAAAAGTTGCTTAAGGGTAAATTTTAATTAAAATCACTTCTGTTTGTATTAATGGCCTCAGCGAATACAGCATGAGTCTGGCATAATTTAGGGTAATATGAAATAAAAAAATAATATTTCATTTAATTTGGTTCCTATTTCCCAAGCATTAATGGTAATTTCTGCCAGAAGAATACTGAAAATTAAAAATGTGATTTTCAAATGGTTATAGCACTCACATTATGTCTGTAATTTATGATGTTTGCCAAAGGAAAAAAAATATTTTTTATTGCTGATTGCATCATCATTATTATTCCCCCTGAGATTTACATTTAATATTTCAATAATTTAACAACACAATCGCATGTTTTCTGATGTCAGTTAATGATCACATTGACATGCAGGTAAACCAATCAAATATTCCAAATGTAAAAAATGTAAATGTATTCTTTTGATTTTACATTTTTATGATTTAATTAATTGTTAACTTTTCATCAGCTCATTAACCCTTTGCGATTCTTTCATTTACTTTTTTCTTTTCTTTTCTTTTCTTTTTTTTAATAACAATAATCCTATTCAAATCTATAAACAATTTAGTTCATAAGTAATCTAAAAGTAATCCAAAAGTAGTCGGAATACATTACCTAAATTGAGTATTCTTAAAATGTATTAATATAATATAATGTAATATAATATAATATAATAATGTAATATGATATGATATGATATGATATGATATAATATAATATAATATAATATAATATAATAATGTGATATGATATGATATGATATGATATGATATAATATAATATAATATAATATAATAATGTGATATGATATGATATGATATGATATGATATAAATTTAACATGCTAACTGTCTGTACTGGTTGAATTTTCTGTGGTAGACCTTCCAGGGCTTGTGTTGTGTTCTTGTCTGACAGTTGTTTAAATATTTCTCAGAATATAATTTCACATCCATCAAGTCTTTTCACATATCATGAACATTTGTCCTTGTGAAACTTGAATCCTCATTCTTTTGTTGTAACGTTTACAGAGTCTGATATTTCTAGACATTTTTACAACTAGCAAAACCACAAGGGTCTTTAAAAGAACCTAAGGAGCTTAAAGCATCAATCTCTGCTATCGGATGACCTTGGACCCATAACCCACGACAATAAAAATCTGCACTGCGTGATGAAGACTGTCACGAGGCGTCCCAGCAGACGAATATTTCACAATACAACTGTGTTCAGACAGTGACCGAGCTTCTCTGTACAAAAACTGTAAGTGCTCATCTCCATCTTTGCTTTTACTGCCAAGGGTTTGGCATTTAAGTGAAAGTCAGTCAAGGTCATGAAGATGAAATCTGCACAGCTTTACCGAGCTCTTTGAATTATGAGTTGGAACACAACAGAAACAAATTGGACTACCATATGCGTTTGAAATCTTTTTTGGTTGAATATTCTGGACGTACATCCTGTTACTGCAGTAAAATGGGTTGCAAATTTTGTTAACTCTGATGGTGTCATAGTTTATCCAGAGAAATATTTAAATATTGTTATCTTTCCCTGCTCTGTCTTGCTAGAAGGGGGCTTTGTGACTTTATGTCCTGGTTTTAGAGCGGCAGACAATCAGCCTCTCTCTGATTTGTCCATCTCAGCATAGAGGATCACCAGTAAGCCTAGCCTACTGCCCTCGGCTCAGTGCGGATGAATGGGAAATGTGGAATAAAGGCTTTTCTTTCTTACACTTCTGACAGGGAACAATCACCCTCACGCTTCTGCGCCAGGAATTTGCTGATGTTAGCATGTTTCCTGCCAGGATCACCGCTATTCATTTGATGTGCTTAAACACTATGTATAAAAAATGCAATAGAAGAAACGTTGATTTCTTCAGAGACAGATGAAAAACAAGATGGGATAAGATCAGGGTTTTGTGTCTGGTAGAGCAGTTGTCTAGTGTATTTACTTCTCCAGGAGAAGTATTATTATTTCTACTTGCAGAGGCTGATCTAAAGTCAGATTCTTTAAAGTGCCCCTATTATGCCTTTTCGAATATTACCTTTTATGCAGTGTGTCATGTAGCTGTATGTGAACATAAACTATCTGCAAAGTTGTGAAGCTGAATATTGACAAGTCTCCAGGGCTGTTATTCCGTCATGGCAATGTTTCGTTTCCGACACGCGCTGTACGTGGTAGACCAATCCAGAGCCAAGCTCTCTACGGCTCTGGACCAATCGCAAAAGGACTGCGCCATCTGACCAATCACAGCAGTGAGGGCTCACGGAAAGGAGGGGTTTAGAGAGACTGATTCTTTGAACTGCTTCGCAAGAGTCGTTTACGAATCATTTAGAAATGAGGTAAAATTAAATCTATTTTTTGAGAAAACTAATATGTTTTTTGACCTTGCATGAATGTAAACCTGTTTTAGGAGACTCATAAAACAATATTAGCAACCTGAAAAATGGCATAATAGGGGCACTTTAATACAGTTGCCCTGGTTTGACCAAAAGTTTAGTATTACGTGTACCATGATAGTATATAATACATTGGTGACCATATTGATAACAACAGATTGTCATCTGCCTGATTAAGCCAGAAAGAAACTAGAGTCAGAAAAAAAAACAGATTTTTTTTTAATTTGATATCAGAACATTTTTAAGTAGCAAAATATTTATTTATTTATTTAATTTATTTATATCTATTTTTTTATTTTCAGTGAAGGCTTCAAAAAGCTTGTATGCTTAATTTTACTTGCATGTAAATCAGTGGCGTAGGCAGAATTAAAATTTTGGGGGGGCCCATCTTAAAATGAGGGGGCCGCTCAATATTACATGTAGCTATAATGTCTATATTAAATGTGCGCATTTTCAAGTGTTTTTGCAGAGTGTGGAAGCTGAATAGCAGCGCGCTTATACTGCATGACAGTTAACATGGAGGCGCCGGTGCAATCACTTGCGCTTAAAATACTCCATCATTTTTGGTCATACAGACAAGAATAATTACATCGTTCGAATCTGTTAAGAGTCTACATTTGTTTGTTTACACTCACAATAAAATAATGAAACTGTAAAATAACGAAACCAAACAGGATACTATTTCTGCCGGCTCGGTCCCGGTGAACTTGAGCGCGTCAAAAATGAACCGAAACTCTGCTGCTTAACAGACATGAGAAATATATCTATAGAACATGAAATGTTTTAATAATCAACCAATTCAAATAGAAAAAAAATATTCTCAGATTATATAATATATGTGTATATTGCGCTTCCACCACAGAGATGACGATTAAGCATCATTAACTTCATCACGTTTTAGTTTATCAATAAATTATTAAAATGGTAAGGTAGTCTCCTTGCTGTTTTCCCCGAAACATTAAATTCCTTATTTTTAATTTTTTTTATTTTAAGCAATCAGAAATCTGGGGGGGCTGGATATGTAAATGAGGTGCCCTCTCGTGGCTACGCCATTGGTGTAAATTTTTAGACTAGTTGAAAAAACTGTGCAAAAATACTGATTTATAATATCAGCAGGCATTGGTTAAAGATATTTTGTATTTAGATGCATTATTTTATTTATTAATTATTAATTGAATAAATTAATAGATATATTTTATTTTTGAAATGTATTATTTGTTTATTTGTTCAGCCTTTGGGCATGTAACTTTTTTAAAAAAGTTGCAGTATTTATTCATAGTTTTAATTAGCTTAAAACTTGTTTATTTCAGTTAGTTGTCAATACAAAAATTTCAAATTCTTGTTTGTTTTTTATTTAAGTTTACTTTTTTTTTTTATTTAATATTAATATTTTATTTCAGCTTTATTTCAGTTAGTTAAAGGAATTTTAATCATTTTAATAGTTTTAGCTGTCGTAAACACTCGTTGTAGGTGGTGTTATAATGTGTTAAAATAACTTGCTTAACATGATTAGACTGCGAATCTCCGTATTACAATATTCTAGTGTTGTCGATCTACGATGATTGAAGTTGCACTACACTGAAAAACATTTGGTGTAAAATCAATTTTCACTCAGATATTGCTAGTAAATTTCACAATAAATTACAAGAAATGGCAAGTAATATTGAATTAAACATGATTTTTTTTTTTTTTTAGAAAGACTGAAATAGTATTTCTTTATTATTGTATATCTCGGTGGTAGACCATGAAACTCACTTCCTAGGGTTTGAACCTACATCTGGTCATTAGCCAAGATTTTTAAACCCTAATCCACAAAACAGAAAAAAGGATGGCCACTTGAAAGCTCACATTGTTACCATTTATTTTGCCAGCGCTAGAATTAATCTTCTGTTTCCTCGCACAGACTGTACTACAGTGATCCTCATCCGTCCAGAGCGGTGGAGCTGCTGCGGGTGGGGAAGCTGCAGCACTACATGGGCAGACTGGAGGAGGCTCAGGGGAGCTTCACACAGGTCTGTTAGCACATGCTCTTTGGCCCTATGGCTGACTACAGAGACATCAGGGCCGTAATGAGACCCTCGATGGTCATTGGCTGCATTCTGCCCTGCTGTCTGAATCTGCCCTGTTGTCTAAACAGTGGTATGGATGTCTCCGCATTGACTCCACAGTCTGTCTGCTGCTGTTAGATTAGATTTGGTGATTTAAAAGGCAGCCGGAGTCAGGCAGACAATGTGCAGATGGAGAAATAAGGACAAAATTGTTGCAGAAATGCTTTATTATCTTGATGCTTAGACTTGATGCACATCCTTTATTGATTTTATAAAAAGACTGTGACATAAATATGATAAAGGCACCAATAGTTTTTTTTATAATATAATATAATATAATATAATAAATATAATATAATATAATTTTATTTTTAATTTTACCTTTTAAAGGTGGGGTAAGCAATTTTTCAAAAACGCTTTAGAAAACTGATTCGGGCCGACTAGCAAAACAAACTTGTAGTCAATCAGCAGTAAGGGGCGTGTCTACTCATGATGTGGAGGAGAGAGCGTTCAGTGCACAGGACGGACATTAGCGAGCCGAGCGACAGAAAGATAGAGATGGCGGATAAAAAACAAAAGAGAAAAACATCTTCGGAACAAAAGAAGGCTTAAGGCAAGAAGTAGCTTTCCAGCGCTGGAGAGAACTCAAGGAGCGGAATGGCCTGCGATCGGACGCCGAGGTTGCTTTGTTTCTTCTCGATAGGTGAGTAACACCGTGTCTGCGCCGCAACAGCTAAAGTCTGTCTAGTACACTGGACGCGACAAAGCGACCATTGAAAATCATTTGAAATTTGTGTCAATACTTTATAAATAGAACGCAGCAGCAGTTTTCTGTCGGGGATTTGTCGTGCCGGCCGCGCCGCATCCAGTGTAGACCATAGATATGTATATACGTATATCTATGGTGTAGACAGCATCACTGATTATAATGAGTTCCATAGTATTTTGTTGCGCCGCGCCACTCGCGTCCGGTGTAGACACGGTGTAACATTGGTTTTGCTTTGTTTCACAGAACTAATCGTTGCCTGGGCGGGTTGAGTACGTATGTGTGGGGCGGAGCTATCAAAATAGGGGCGAGACCCTTTTGGGGTAGGGGCGTGTTTGTTTTGGTGATTTCAAATGTCAACATTGGCTACCAGAAATCACTTACCCCACCTTTAATTATTATAGAAGTGTGTTAATATGACATTTCTCTGAGTAAAATTTCACCCGTGACGCTCTTGGTGCAGAAGCCAAATACCACGGTAATGTAATGAGTGCTTTGGACTCTCGCAGCTCCCGTTTCATTCCTTTAAATTAATTTTCTTCCCTCACATGACGATTGTTTAACTCAACCATCTCTCTTCCTCCCGCTGCTTCCCTCCTCAGGCGTATGACATCATGAAGGTGACCCACGGGACGGATCACGTCCTGACTAATGAGGTGAGGAGAAAACTGAGTGAGTGCCAGGCTGAGCTGGGTCAAGTCTAGACTGATGTGTGCCATCATACAGAGACCGAGTACTGCGGTCCCGCCATGGCCCCATACTCCTCTCCTCCGATTCTTTGACATGTTGGCTGTCAATCAACACGCCGCTATATTTGCTCTCAAATGGAATGTTTCTGGATGGTTGTGTCTGCCACCTGCTTTTGTGCCACTGTGTATCAAACCAGCTGGTTTAGAATTCAACTGAAAAAAATGCCAGAGGGAAAAATCTACATCTTCGCTGTGCTTTTTCAGTCCATTTCGGAATTTTTTTCACTTACCAACAATGATTTTTTTATCCATTAGCACCCTTAAAGCATAGACCCTTAATAAAAATGACTATACATGACTTTAGTGTGATTCTGACTATCACATAATCAACTGTTGTGAAAAGCAACACCTTTTCAGCAATAGCTTTTGTGCTTCATAAAACCGCTCCAAACACACACCTCAGATTTGTGCTTCAGTTTCTCATCATTAACTTCAATCATCAGAGTTACTCTGGCAAGACAGTTCCAGTCGCTCTGATTTCATAAACATATTTCAGCAGCTGCTTTATGTTTTTATGCTCGTCTTTTACCATCTGGATTGTGTTATTGCAGTAAGCACTTGATTTGTAATGTGGGTCAATCCTTCGTTTCAGTAAATATTCCCATGTTGAATCAAATATTGAAACAGTTTTTAAAGATGAAAATCATATTAGTAAGTTTTCACAACAGTTACGTGAACGAAAGGGATCATTTAAATAATTTCAATACTCTGGTTTGAACAGATGTCGCCATGCTAACACGAAACACTGGCATTTTATTAAGAAATTGTCCAGGTGTTTCACTAATCAGAATGTTTTCTTATGAATATTGTTTTAATTGGTAATTGAAATGACCTCGATATCACTTTCTTTTGTATTAATGTAATATACAAGGAACTGGCTTTTGTTAATAATATCATCCTTCAGGAAGTGATTTCATTTTGGTGGTAAAACAACAAGTGGTGTGTAAAAAATCAAATTATTAATAAAGTTTGTGTCTGAGCTTCTTACTGAAAACCTACGTATATACACGGAAATAAAAGTCTTTTGTTCGTCTAGTTGGTCTGGATCAGCACAGATGACACTTTTCCGGATATTTTCCCAGAACGTGTTATTGTTGCTAAATCTTTTGAACCCTCATGAGTGTCAGGATACAGATAGACAGGATTACACGTCTCATTCCACCTCCTCTCCTCTCATAACTCTGTGGCCACTAAAGCAAACAGCTTTTGGAGGTGCACTTCTTTAAGATGGAGATAATTTCTTAAAAAAATGTCATTCTGTTGGATAGAATGGGGCTTAAGAGGAAATAGAGGAAGTTAGTATAGAGCAGTCCAATCTCTAACTCACACTCGGAGCCCTTTAAGCCTATATGACATCATTCCTAACAAAACGTGAACGAGTCCAACCACAAATCTTCAGTCATGTTTCACCAAAAATCAAAAGGAATAAAAATTTTTTTTTTTTAACTTACCCCTCAGGTGCTGCTCACATATGGCGGTCAAAAATGACAGATTTTTTTTTTTTCAATTAAATAAATGTACTATATTTTAGTTTGATAATTTTATTTATTTAATATTTTATGGTACTAAATTATATTTATGGGATAGTTATGATCCATTCATTACCTGTTAACCACTTTTTGAGCATAGACCTGAAAATGACATTTCTGCTGCAGAACCAAAATTTTCCACTACATGAAATTTGCTTCCCATTCATTTCCATTGTCACTTTCCAAAAGTTTATTTTATTCTGGACCATTTAACCCATCCATGATTGTCCATGATGTATTTATTTTAATTGATTTTTTCACATAGCAAGTGCCAAAACCTTTAAGTAAAAATTCAAAAAATTGACCGAACAGCACTAAAAGGTTATAGATAAGGTTTTATGACCAGTAAGTTTCACTACATATATATATATATATATATATATATATCAACTTTTATTATAATGAGATCCACACTAAGCATCAGGATCACTGATAAGATGTATTATTATTATCTGTATTCGTCCAGTCAGGTTTAGGGTGAATTATCATATACTTGTAAAGTCCCTTGTGCTCCTTTGATGTCTGATATGATTGTCTATTGAACTGCATCTGTGGTTGATGGCTGTTCATTAAACCGATGAAGATCAATCTCGTCTACAAGCAGCTTAAGACATCTAAAATGAAGCCTGGGGTATACTGAATTAAAATAATGAATAAAAACAGACCAACTAAAGGTTGCTTTCATTCTTTTTTTATAAGAAATTCCATCAAAAAATAGATTTATGCTGCAAAAACGTGTGGTGGGCAACTAATTAAAAAAAATTATAGTATCTCAGAAACGTTTTAAGAGAGGATTCAAATAATTTTAGTTATTAATTAGTTGTGCAGAATAAGGCAGAAAAAAGAATGCAGCTTCTGAAACATCCTTTATTTACATCAGTCCGTATGTCAATCAAACTCTCATTCAGGCTGTGTTTTTCCTCATAGAACAAGAAATCATGCCGACCGTCGCAGTATTAACATGAAGCAATATGTTGACAACTTTTCTCATCTTCCCTCATCCATCTGTAATGCCAAACTCCTTTCCTTTCTATTCACATGAATTAGTGAAAGGAGGCGAGGCCTTAGTTTCGCAACCATGTTTGTGAACATTAAAGCGCATTAAGGATATTCGTTTCACATTGTACCGCATATCACACAATGCATTACTTGAACGATTCACAGATGCTGAAGAATGTGACGGCTTGTGATGAAAAACATTTTGGGAATAAACATGGAAATTGCTTGTTCTCTCGTGTCCCATGATTTGGCAATAGATGCATATTCAAAGAAATGCAAAAACAAAACCTATATAATATATAAAGAAGAACAAAAGTGAAATATAGAAGTATATTTTATATATATATATGGCATGAATTTAGCTACTGTACAATTTTAATGCATAGTGCTTTGCAGGTTAAATAAATTATAGAATATAAGCATCTCTGTCATACAGGCCTCCTGAGGTAAAAAATAAATAATATCCTTCATTCATTAAAATGCCAAAAGGGCAGCAGGAATGTCGCCCCCCTTTGCGTTGGCGAGGGTCAGGGCAGGGAAGAGGAGTGAAGCGGGAATGGAAAAGCATATGAAGTCTTTAGCTAGTACCAGAAACAGGCTATATACTCATCTATAAACGTTTAGAGCTGAAACTGTCTCAAGCACCATATATATACTGTATATATAAACAGATTTATACCAAAGTGTCAGCACACGTACAATGAGACCACATAGAGGGAAGGCCAATGAGCAGACATATGCACCAATATGATCTGGAATGCAATGCAACAGACTGAATTCGACGATTTCTACTAAAGTTGTATTTGACGAACAAAATTATACTGTGAAGTGTTGTTTTAAAAATGCCCAAGAAGTTGGGATGCATTATTGATATTAAAGATCCTTGTTGGTCCTGCCAGACTGAGGATTCTTCTCGCCGCTCAACCGTGACACGTTGGAGTGGCCCAGCCCGAGGCGTCACACTGCTGAAAATGCCAACATAACCGCAGGGGATGTGAAAAATCAATGAGCCAATGCCAGAACCATTCTTCGAGATGTCCTGCTGTGCTATTCCATGGAATATGAAATGCTCTATGTGGTCTCAGTGTGTCCAAGAATACAAAAAAATCATATAAAACACACGTAACAGTTCATGTTGAATGTGACTAGTGTATAACAATACAAATACCGAGACAGAGATTAAACACATCATTTAACAAGCAGTGTTTTCTTTTTCTTGTTACTTTTTTTGTTTGTTTGTATGCATGTTTTTTTAAGCTAGCACCGTCTGTACACAAATATGAATTTTTGTCCATAGATTTCCAAGATATTGAAGTGTTCACAAGGCACTTGTCGTCCTTTTTGTTGTTTTTCATTCATCTTCTTTAACGATTTGTTCTTTTATCCACATATGGCAATATAATTAGTTTGTTCACAGCAAGCGAGCAAGCCATTTTCGAAAACGACGAAAGTACTCCAGAGAGTCCACTTCAAACGTCTGCTGAAGGTCAACTGAAAAAATGAAGGAAACGGATGTTAACTGACAGAAGTTAAACCCACCAAACTCATACTTTTGTCTTGAAAAATATTTTACAATGCCTGCAGTTTGCATAGCTATTTAGTGAATTTTGCCATGTATTTTAATTTGTTCATATATGATCATTTCTTGGACTAGAAATGGTACCATTGATATCAACCCAAAGTGTGCAAATGACTTACATTCAGTGGTCCATTTCTCTGGCTCCAGCATCAGATGTTGTTTGGTTTGCTCTAGTTCCTTCTTCAGCCAATCGTACTTGGCCCGCACCTCTGAGATTCTCTGTTGCCGATACTCTAAGATCTTCAGTTTGGCACTAAAGTATACCACTTCCTGAGGGCACAACAACAATAAGCGATACATCTTTCTAAACCACTGACAAGAACTGCTGTAAAAACGCACTTACCTTATTGCCTACGGTCCGCCTCCTCTGTAGACGTTCAACATCATCAATCTCATAAACCTTAATCTCGAAAGGTTCAGCTAAACCCCTCTGTGTTGGCCGGAGGGGACCATCCACCCAGCGTACTCCTGGACTGATGATCGGCTTTCTCACGGGAGAGGTGGTGTCTAAGGTGAGGTTAGGGATTAGACGGCGTCTCTGGGACCCTAGGGATGAAACAATACCATGTGATGAGCACTATGTAAACACATTTTATCAATCTTGAGTTGTTTTATAATTAAACCAAGTGAAAAGACAAAAAAAAGTGTCAAAGTGTGCTACAGTGCTGAGCCAAAGCTTAACCTACACAGAGCCGCACTCCTACCAATTCGACGCAGCCGTGTAATGAAAAAGAGCACTGAGATAATAGCAGGACAGTATCTTATCTGACTAGTCTGGAGGAGCCAAGTCTACAATAAGGAATTTGCCAGAAGTAGTTCCCCTATTTGCATAGAAATTGACAGTTCCAGGTCTGATGATAAGTTATCTGATTTGGAACCAAGGAACAAGGTCATGTTAATGTGTTTCAGCTAGTCATTTGGTCTGAAAACAGCACCGAAAAGGTCAACTTTTCAGTCTTCCCTCATTGCCTCGGAGAGACAGTGCTCTGAGTTCAGAAGAACGTTGGCGGTTGGCAGTTGATGTAAATTTTAACTGTGGTTGTGCTTTTATATCCTTGCAAAGGCCTTTTCAAATAAGGTATTCACAACATAATTACAATACTACTTTTCTTTGCGGTTCAACGTGTACTGGTCTAGCTTTTGTGTCTGAGAAATGATTTACATTTTCAGTTTTCTCACCATGCAAAGGTTTGTGGTGGCAAGAAATAGAGTAAAATTCTTAGCCTGAGGAAATGGGAGAAGAGGTGTGTATTCTGGAATTTATGCAGCACTAAATATTGAAAGACCACCCACAGCTAAGTTTGGCAACTGCTATCAGTCAGTATCATAACAGATCATCCAAGCATGTAGAGGGGAGTAGAGCTGTTTAAAAAGTTTTGTTTCTTCCAACTATAATCTGGAATGAGTCCTGAAAGCTTTGTAGTACAATAAATTTTCTTGAGCACAATTCATTAGGGATTACATTAACTGTACTGAGATCTTTGAATTGTTGTAATGCAGAAAGATGGATTCCACGATGAGCCATTAAATACATTTGCCAGACTTGAGAAGCAGACTACACGCATAGAATAAAATAAAATAAATAAATAAACAAACAAATAAATATAGGTGTGTGTGTGTGTATGTATATATATATATATATATATGTACAGTGGGGAAAATAATTATTTGACCCCCTGCTGATTTTGTAAGTTTGCCCACCTTCAAGGAAATGAAGGGTCTATCATTTTTATGGTAGGTTTATTTTAGTGGATAGAGTCAGAATATCAATCCAGAAAAAAACACATTATATAAAGGTTATAAATTGATTTGCATTTTAGTGAGTCAAATAAGTATTTGATCCCCTACCAACCAGCAAGAATTATTGCTCCCACAGATTAGTTATGTGCTGTGTAGAACACAGATTAGTCCTGTCACTTTAAGAAAGTACTCCTAATGTCAGCTCATTATGTGTATAAAAGACACCTGTCCACAGAATCTGTATCTTCCATTCCAACCTCTCCATCACCATGGGCAAGACCAAAAAGCTGTCAAAGGACGTCAGGGACAAGGCTGTAGACCTACACAAGGCTGGGATGGGCTACAAGACCCTCTGCTAAGGGTACAGGATGACTTCACCGCATTGAGGGGCTGATGAACAGGGCTATGTACCGTAAAATCTTGAATGAGAACTTCCTTCCCTCAGTCAGAATACTGAAGATGGGTCGTGAATGGGTCTTCCAGCATGACAATGACCCAAAACATACCGCCAAGGCAACAAAGTGGCTCAAAAAGAAGCACATTAAGGTCATGGAGTGGCCTAGCCAGTCTCCAGACTATAATCCTATAGAAAATCTGTGGAGGGAGCTGAAACTTTGAATTGCCAAGTGACAGCCCAAAAAACCTTAAAGATTTAGAGAGAATCTGTAAAGAGGAGTGGACCAAAATCCCTCCTGACATGTGTGCAAACCTGATGACCAACTACAAGAAATATCTTACCTCTGTGCTTGCCAATAAGGGTTTCTCCACCAAGTACTAAGTCATGTTTTGCTTGGGGATCAAATACTTATTTGACACACTGAAATGCAAATCAATTTATAACCTTCATAAAATGTTTTTTTTCTGGAGTCTTTGGTTTATATTCTGTCTATGTCCGTTAAAATAAACCTACCATAAAAAGTATAGACCATTTATTTGTAAGAGGTCAAACTTACAAAATCAGCAGGGGATCAAATAATTATTTTCCCCACTGTGTACATTAACCAAGCTGACAGGAGTATGTTGACATTTTCCATTGTATTACACAACAAAAAAATCAAGTAGTAAAATACTTTTTTATGTTGGATTATGGACTTTAAGCAAAAAGAAGCATAGTTTTTGGCATCTGATATTTGCTTACCTGTATTACTTCTTTTCTTTGAATTCTTAAGGCTCCTGCGACCACTGACAGAGCTGCTGTTTTCACTCATCGAGTCCTGAGCAGATGATGTGCTTCCTGTGGCCTCACTGTCTCGTATCATACTCTCATAGCCACTGCTGCCGCCACTGTGGTAGAACAAAGCAGTCTTTCCCATGGCTGGAGGAAGCTCTCCGCTTAGAACACTGCTGTTGTCACTGGCATGTCCACTACTGCAACGGTGAGGCCTTCTTGGGGCGGTGATCTTACTGTAAGGTGAGGGCAAAGTATGGACCACCGGCCTTTCCTCTCCTTGGACTGCTGCTCCTCTCTCCTCAGTGTCTGAAGCCCCTCGTCCTTGGGCAGCACGAGAGCTAGCGCTACCTTGAAGGAGCTCAGAGATTCGTCCATTCACTGCTCTTAAAGGTAGCTTAGATGCTAACCCTGTCCCCCTGCTGCGACTTAAGGACTGAGTTGACCATGAATTTTGGTTCTGGTTCTTTCCATTGGGAGGCAAACTTGAGCTTCGGTTCACTGACTGTGGGAGGGACTTGGTGGAGAAACTTAGGGTCTTTGTGCAAGAGGTTGATAAGCTTCGAGCTTTGGGACTTGCCATAAGGAGTTTGCTAACTGCAGAGATTTTGGATTGACTTGCTTTGGGTAATTGTGGGGCATTATTATTACCATTTGGTCCATTGGTAGGTGATGAGAGCAAACCACGGGTGATGCTCCTACCTGTCCTTGGCATTGTACTGTCTTTTGTAACTCCTCCTTTAGAGCCTAGATAGGTCAAACTCTCAGCCTTCTCTAAGGAATGACAGTCATAATGTGCCCCATGAGACCTCCCTAAGGAATTGGTTCTGTTTGCTAACTGCTCAAGTTTGGCACTGAAGAGTCTGCTGCTCTCTACATTTGGTCCTTTGTGTTTACCGGCCAGGTCTTCAGGTGTGCTGCCAAGGAAAGACAGATGCTGGTTTGGTGTCTGAGAATTTCCTGGACTATGCTGTGGACTTGCTCGATTCCTCTGGTCAAGGCTAGACTTCCTTACAGGTGGCAATGGTGGGATTCCTTTCTGACGAGCAAAGATGCCTTGCCTCCCTGCTGAACTTCTTCTTTCGAGTGTGGCTCTTGGACTGCAGGGAGTGGAAGTGGTAACCCCAAGGCTTTTATACTCTCCACTCATGTAATGATATGTAGGGTCTTCCAGATCGTCCTGCTTATTCAAGCGATGCCATGCACGAGGGAGACTACCCGTCCTGAGGATGTCTGCAGAGTACACTTGAATTATGCTTTCGGATGCATTGAAGACCATCTCGCAGCCATCCACCACCCGGTTCATTGAATCAGGGGAACATGCTGCTTCACTTGAGCTGTGCTTGTCAACTTGCCACTTCCTTTTTACAGATTCAGATGTTCTCTTCTCTGACTTGATATCACAGACCATCTCCAAAGGCTTGGTCTCTTCACATCCCTCCCTTTTCATCCAAGGGTCATCAAAATGTATCTCACTTAAGAATGGAACAGGTGGTGATTTGGGATCTTTGACTAGAGGGGTTTTTGTTTGTAAGTCCTGCACAACTATTGGCTTAACAGCAGCACATGGGTGAGTTGTGATATTGGTCTTAAAAGGAACATAGCCACTTGAGGTTGATGACAGCTGGTCTAGTTTGTGTTTAGCTGTGTTTTTATCATTCACTTCAGTTTTATTGGAATCACTCTCTTTGTCTGAGTTCTTTTGGTCATTTGACTCGGGGTCTATGTCACCTTCTTCTTGAATTTCTAAAAGCCTGTCTTCGGCTATTGCCTCACCTTGTCCAAAGCACTGTTGGGCAACAAAGCTATGGCATGACTGGTCGCCATCACTGCCAGCACTCATTTCACTCAGCCATGAGCTGACTGAGGAACGACGACTAGCCTGGGCGTCCCCTTCTATCTTGCGGAGAGGCAGGAATTTAGCAATGTTGACTTGTGAGATAGTGGCGGTGGTAGTGCAGGGAGCTGTGGTGTAATGTTCTAGGTCTTCACTCTTGCTGCTAATTATACTAACAGGTCTTGAACCCGATGTCATAGCCTGCACCGAGCAGTCACTGTTAAAGCTGATAATACTGGTTGGTCTGCCATTTTCCATCACCCCACTAATTGTCAGCTTTTCCACAAGGGTAAACACCAGCTCATCCTCTCCACTGGGTTCCAAAGGATGCTCCAGTGTAACTGTGGCTGTGGTATCCTTCACATTTTTCTTACTGTCCAAAGGCAGCTGGGGAACATCATCACACAGTGTCTCAGCTGATCCAAGGCTATTGGATGATGAAGATCTGTTTAGGACCTGTGGGCTCATCCCCACCGGAGAGGTTCTAGACTCAGGATTAAGCAAAGACTCTGTAGATGATTTTCTAGAGTCTTTATTAAGATTATGTGAGGAGTGAGGTGGTGTGCCAGGCATTATTCCCTTCTGGGTGTACACTTTGCAGCGTTGAGAGGGAGAGGATGGTGGTTTGTACTCTGAGGTTTTAGTAAGACTGGCAATGCCCAACCGTGGGGAACCCATAGGACGAGGTTTACTCTCACTGCTGCTTCCCCCACTGATGGATTCTTTGCTGTCATGTAAACTGGAGCTCTTAGCTCTGTGAAGAGGAGTTAGTTGCCAAATACCACTGCTGCCAGTCACACTTCTGCTGCTGGAGAGTCCACAACTGCCTGTTGAAGACTGTGTCAAGCTTTCAATTATTGACTGAGCGATCTCTGCTTCTTCAACCACCTCACGGATCTCCTCCAGCTGCTGGTCAGAGATCCTCTTGGGAGAACTGGATTGCTGACCCCCTTTAACAACTTGACCATGGCCAGGCTCAAATTTGGCAGCTCTGTTGGCAGGGACTTCTTCAAAAGGGAATTTCGTAACCTCTTCTCTTCCATCAATGCAGTCCAGCCTCTCTTGGAGTTCTGCAAAAGTGTTGCACTTAAGGCAGTCTTTTTCCTTTTTACCTGGCTCAGCACCTTCCTCTGGCAAAGGTGGGAGTGGCTGGGGATTAATGGTCTGCAAGGGTTGGACAGACTGTGAGGCTTGATCTAGTGGGGCCACAACCTGTTGAGATGGTTGTGATGTCAAAGAAGCCTTGCCAAGATCTGCTTTATTTTTATGTAGAGATGGGATTATAGGAACAAACTCTGGAGGACCTTCGTTGTCTGTTAGCTCTTTGTCTGAGAGGGCTGAGCCATTTGGACCTACATAGATAACTGTGTCACATGACTGTTCGCTGCTGGAATACTCTTCAGGGTCACTGGAGAGGTGTAGCAGGGGCATCTCTGAATCAACAACATTTCTAGAATGGATGGTTCTCAGCTGTGTTGGGCGACGCATTCTTCCTTCCTCACATGAGCTCTCACCACCAGAGGAACTGGATGTGTATTGCTACAAAAGAAAAAAAACACTGCATTTTAAAGTAATAAACATAAAACACAATGGTGAATCATTCTATGCTAAAAGAAAGTTCAATAAAATTAACGACAGTATCATACCACGCTTACTTTAGCCTTCTTCTTCTTCAGCCTAAGAACACGAGAGGCGATTTGAAGGGTAGAGAGTGTCTCTGAGAAGTTGCTGGGTGACAAGGAAATGTGGGCTATCATAGTGGTGCGACAATTCATGTTTCCCAGGGACTCACGTAACAGCATTGTTAGCTTACTATCTCTGCAAATAAAAAATGGAAGAGCATAAGTTGGCAAAATAATAGTTGTGTAACCAAATGATTAAAAGTGAAGCTACATGATTTATAAAATGAGTTAACCTTTTCAGAATAAAATGTATTTGGAAAATGGATGCATTCAAAAATCAAGGCTTTGTGGAAATAACTCCTTTTCAATGAATACCTGGACCACTTCTAGCAATCAGTCTAATCGTGTAATGTAACCCTCTTTAATAATAAGAATGGATAGACCCTTTTGGGCATTTTATTTGCTGACCCTGATTCAAAAAACCTTGGCTGCCAGACAGTCTCTTTTTACAGAGAAAGAGAAAGAGAGACTTGGATTGGCATTTCCTGTTCTGTCTGCCTTCCCCATGGCAACCATTAGAGGTGACATATAAAGCTGCTTTTCAATGATGAGTCAGCTAGTATTACAATATTCACATGTAAGTTCTCAGAAATCAATGACCTATACTATAATTTAAAGCAAAACATTGTCACAGAATACAACAGAGTGTACATTAATGTGATTACAGTGATAATCTTTTCTAATTTGTTTGATGTCGGATGATGTTCTTAAAAATGGTTAGTGAAGTGTGTAGTCAATCTTAAGTGGTCATTAACAGTGATCACATGAAAACTAAGCACAAATTATACAAGCTTAATTTACTAGCCATGATGTAACAAAAATAAAGTTATCTGAGATATCCCATTAAATAACATTCACCCCTTGGCAAAATATGTAAACACTTATTACACAACACATGTGAATAGTTTCTGGTTATTGCTACTAATATTATGCCACAAACTGGACAATGCATTCTAGTGTAAAATCGATAATTAATAATGAATTGATAATAATTCTGAACAATATTCTACATTTGGCATTAAATCAGAGAGGTTAAGTCATCCAATTAGAGAGATAAAAAGCAACTAAAATATTATTTAGCACTAATTAAATCACTATCTAAAATTAGTGACTTGTGTAGATTTATATTCATTTATGATGCATGCATATTAATTCAATTTATCTTGTGCAAATGTTGCATTCCTCCTAAAAGGCTGTAAATCCTAATTATATCTCAGCTCTCAAGAGCTGTTGCGTATCCAGCCTTAAACCCCATGATGCTCTGCAATGTAAATTCGCCATGATTAAATTAGGGAGCCATGGCATAAAAATGCAAACGTGCCTTGAGGGAGCTAAATGGAAGCGCTGCTAATTTTGGGAAAAATGCTGCTAGATGATACACGACACCTTCTCAAAGTTGTCTGTTTAACTCAAATTGACATGCTGTTAAAAGAAATAAAACAGCAGTTGCAGAGAAATGGTCTGTGTTAAGAACGTTCAATGAATCCCAGCGAATGTGAAACTGCATCTGTCTCTATAGCTGCCTGGCAGAAGCTAATTCACTTAGCTATTACCCCTGAGGAGCGATAAAGGTTACATTCTCTCTGCAGATTCAACGTAGCATTAGAATCCACTAATAATTGCTAACATCAAAGGCTGGAAAATGTTAGTCTGTATATATATTATTCATATGAGGTGTGTTTGAGAAGAATTAATGGCATGCAGCGGAGATATGAAGGCTAAACATTATAAAGGTATAATGAGCACACTCGCACCCTAAAGAGAGCAGCCCGGAAAATGGAGCGCAGCTGGAGGAAAACAAAACTAGAGGTATTTCGTATTGCTTGGCGGGAAAGTACACTGCATTATACAGTATTTTTTGTAACAGTACAGGTAGTGCCACTGACTAAGTTAAATATTTAAATAGCTACTTAGTTTAAGTAAGAAAGTATAAATCTTGCAAAGAAAATGGAAAAGCAATAGAATGTAAAGAAACTGAAAAAAAGTATAAAAACTGTCGAAAACCTCATGATGAGCATCTAATTCCATAATGAAGTATTACTGTAACCTAACGGTAGACTAATAAAGAGAAATGGAACTTATTAGTGAAAACGCTGAGGTTAATGAACTTATATTTCAAATGGTGACATTATATCTCTCTGTGTTTCTATTATGTAAGTTAACCTTAGTCATGGAAACATCCTGAGTGGATTTCATGACACTGCTTACACTAGCTCATTTTGGAGGTAATTCAAGTTTCTCAAATACACTAAAAGCCCATGCTAACACATCTGGTTTTACTTTCTATTCACTCTTGGGAAAAGGCGGGACTCACTTGTGCCAAACAGAATTTTTTTTTGTGATAAGAGAAATTAGCACTGTTCTCCAGAAATAGCTAGTTTTAGCTTGACAGCTTTTAGATCAGATTGTACATCTCACATTAACAATGGAAGTTTCTTTGTCTGTTATCACACCCCTCTCAAAGATTATCAGCAGCAGACTATTTATAAACCACACAGGCAACATTTGGAAGTATAATGAGAAAATTCTAAATCAACCGTGGAAGAGAGCAGATACTGCTGATAAGACTAGTACAGCTGAAGATAATGGTGTCCATCATAAAAGTATCTTAACAAGGTTAACCAGCAATAGTCAAAATTTTGGAACCTAAAAAAATAGGTCACGGACCGAAAACCAGTTGAGAACCTCTGCTCTAGTTCATATTGAGTTTCTACTTAAACTCTATCCAACCTATAATGATACTCACTTCCACCCTTGCCGGTCTTTTCCATTCGATACTGGTAGATGTGTAGGGTGAAGAGCATGTGAGAGTTACGGTGCTCCTCTTCGTCGTAGTCTGGCTTACTGCTGTAACGTGCAGCAATGGCAGCATCCAAGAAGAAAGCGGCCTTCTCAGCCGTAGGAGCGCGCAACTCACTCTGATTCTGTAACTGTGAAAAACACCAAAGATGCAAATGTGAATTTTATTGCACAGTTTTGGCTAAAAAAACCATTTAGTATGAGTTTTTGAATTTGTACTCCAAACATGGCAATTTAGCAATTAGTGGTCTACTGAAATAATGCCAAGGTAGATAAATGGGCTGATATTTAACAATTTTATTATCTCATCGGCTGCAAAGTTTTTCTGTTTGGCTGATGAGTGCCAGCAGTCAGACTTTTACTTTGACAGCACCAGGACCTTTTTGACTTTGTGAAAAATACTATAATAGGATTACAAGAAGTTTCTGTCTAAAGTATATATCTGCTTGTTTGTTGTTTTATACAGATTATGTTTTATCAAGTATTGTTTTTTTTAACATATATTAAATATATATATATATATATATATACAGGGCTGTACAGTGCGACATATATGCTTTTTCTGAGCGCGTACTCAAGAAGTGCGCTCACACTGAGAGCCTGTCAATAAAATAATTAAATAAAGTGTATTAAATAAATTTAAAAAAACACACACACACACACAAAAAAACACCCTGCCCACCCTGTTCTCTAAGATATTGGCACTGGCTTTCAAAAAACTCCATATTGGTCGACCACTATTAACAATACTACAGAAAATAAAAGAAAGCATTAAAACACTGTCAGTTCAGCTACATCTTAATATCTATAAAGAAATTCGTCTGTTTGTTATTTGGCAATAATCATGTCAGCACGGCCTTGGGTATCACGTCTGAAGCCGGCTCTGTGTGATAAGGTTGACTGTCACAGGAACAGGAGAAGTGAGGGCATTACAATCCATTGCTGTGAGGTATCAGTCCAAGATGAGATTAGTGCACATGTCTGAGGATTACAGAGACAGGGGTTGTCTCTGCTCGACTAATCCTCTCATCATGTATATTAAAACACTGTCAGTTCAGCTACATCTTAATATCTATAAAGAAATTCGTCTGTTTGTTATTTGGCAATAATCATGTCAGCACGGCCTTGGGTATCACGTCTGAAGCCGGCTCTGTGTGATAAGGTTGACTGTCACAGGAACAGGAGAAGTGAGGGCATTACAATCCATTGCTGTGAGGTATCAGTCCAAAATGAGATTAGTGCACATGTCTGAGGATTACAGAGACAGGGGTTGCCTCTGCTCGACTAATCCTCTCATCATGTATTAGCATTTTTCTCAACAAAGCCATCTTTATTGGAAGCTGATTGTCATGCTTGTTTTTTTTGTTTTGTTTGTTTTTACACTGGGGGTATTCCCAGAATAAGTGTGCCAATATTGTTAAACTTTTTTTTCTAATTTCAAAATAGTTATTTGTTACCATTTTAGAGAGAATCAGCAATAAAAAGAAAAACATGAATTTTTGGCATCATTCTACATCAGTAACATCTAGCGTAGCGTTAGTTCTGGCAGTTCACGTTAGTCAAGCTCGCATCAGCTGACTCTCAGCTGATCCCCATCAACCTATGGGAATACGACACCTATCTAAGCATTCATATATAAGGTCCCTCAGTATTATCAGCAGTTAATAGTGGTCCTGACAGAAAAACAGAATAGCAAAATAGACTGTTTTCAAACAGGTGTCAAAACACTACTAATGGTCAGGCAAACAGAAAGTCCCGCCCTAAACAGTGTTGTTATTGTTAACTAAAGCCAAAACTGTTAAAAATCAAAAAATCAAATAAAATAATGTTGCTTTGGCAACTCCTGAAATAAATAAGCTTAAGTACTCAAATTAATTAAAGCCATGTAGAAATGTTTATAAATAAATAAATAAAAATAAATAAATAATAAGCACATAACAAAATTTAAAAAATTAAATTAAAGTGAAAACTGAAAATATAAAAATAAAAGCTAGTTCAATTGATTAATTAATACTAAAATAGTATCTAAACCCCACGGCAAACCCAACAGCATTGGATGAGACAACATTGCTTTTTTTTATAGTGCCACAGTTTTTACATTTTTCAGAAAAAACAAAAAGGCTGATTTATAGTATCATATTAAGATCGGATAGAAATGTAAACATTGTAAAAAATTACACACTTCATCTTAATGTTACTTATGTTATTTACGTCATAATGACATTTGAATGAAATGGATATACTGAGATTTTCACAGTATTTTAATATCAATCAACAATATACTGCACATATATCATGAACAAAATACTGTATAATTCAATAAATTTGAACAACATTAATGATCAGAACGACTCTTTTACCTGCATCCCACAGATGGGGTCCTCGCAGAGGTAGACTCCTGGAGACTGACCATCCTGCAAACTGCCTGTTGCCACCTCCGACAACAGATCTTTCAGGTTCTCGTCTTTTCCCCAGACCTCCACAGCCGACACTCGTACGGAGAAACGTGCGCCTGTCTTTTCCTTGCACTCGTTGATCAGTTTGAAGAGCCAGGAGATGGCACACGGGATGATCCCTAAACTCTGCATGGAGTCGTCCTTGCCGATCATAGTGTAGGATTTGCCTGCGACCAGACCGAGAATCGAGTTGGCGATGGATCGCTTTGCATACAATCACATTTCTTGGTTTATGATGATTGGCAGGCCTTTCAAAAGCATAGAGTGGAACGGTAGAGTTAAAATAGGTCAGGTGCTAAAAGCTATGGTGCATTACGCCAGTACGTATGGTCTACTTCACACTTTCTAATATGATAGTTAGCTTGCAGACCAGCACTCTGGCATAAACCACAGTGACAGATGTCACACACACGCAAGACAAACACATTCCAATAAAATTAAAAATCCATTAAAGCTGGAAAACCGACAAGATTAGCATAATCCCGCTTAGAAATATAGTCGGAAAAAGTACCGTGCCTAATCACAAGAATGTTTTGTCTGCCTTAAATGGGTTTTTATTTCCAGAAAAGCCCTTGGTTTGACAGTCTGCTGACATTTGCCATATGTCTTAGTGTGGTTGAGTAAGCACATACGCCGTGTGGGCAGCACTGGGCATTAAACGCAGGACCAGAACCAGAACAACAGCCTGTTGATTGGCAACGTCCCTGGATTCATTTCTGGACATTGCCCTCAAACACAGTCACATGCATAAATAACCCTGCTGTTGACATGAAAGGGGCCACTAAACAACGCCATATGTCACAGCACACATTCAGACCAGACTGAACTTCAAAAGACGGATTCCTCCAGTTTGGGTGGGAAAGAGAGCAAGAAAAAGAAAACAGAAACAGGAATCAGAGATAATATCTGCTGAAATAGGACAAATACACACAGCAATTCAAACATCACAACATTTCATAAAAAACAAGCCAATTCTGCAATGGTGCAGATGCAGCAGATAATACATTTATTCATGATTTAATATGACACACCTGAGGCAGATTTTTCATACTTTGTTTTTGAAAAGATGGTAATTCTAAAAAGTAGCACTTTCATGTTTAAGAAGGTGTTGTACTATTGTGGCAGGTGGAGCTGCTAATGGAAAAACTGGATCAAAAACTTTACAGGATGAAAAAACTTTATCAATATACCTTTATATCCTGGTCCATTACAATATTTTCCCACCCAGTACTATTTTAGTAGTATTTATATACTATTATAGTATTTTTAAAAATATTTTAGATGAGCTTTTATTGTTATATTTGCAGTTTTCACTTTAATTTTAGTTGGTTTTAGTCATTTTTATGTGCTTTTGTCGTTTTTATTAGTTTTTTGTATTTTTCAATATTTATATTTAGATATATATTTTTTTTTGTAATTTTAGTACTTCCCTTTATAATATCCTGGTCCATTACAATATTTTCCCACCCAGTACTATTTTAGTAGTATTTATATACTATTATAGTATTTTTTAAAATATTTTAGATGAGCTTTTAATGTTATATTTGCAGTTTTCACTTTAATTTTAGTTGGTTTTAGTCATTTTTATGTGCTTTTGTCGTTTTTATTAGTTTTTTGTATTTTTCAATATTTATATTTAGATATATATTTTTTTTTGTAATTTTAGTACTTCAATGTATTTTAGTTCAGTTAATTGTAAGGTTTTTAAAATTAGGTTTTCATCTAATATTTATATTTTATTTCATTTCAGCTTTATTTTAATTAAAGAAAAAAAAAGATTTAGTTTTAGTTCACAAAAACAATACTGATTCCACCACTGAAACTAAAAACATTTAAGAGGTAAATGTAAATTATGAGGACTACACTAACACAATGGTATAAAAAAGTAATCATTTAGTTGCAGATGGCAATAAAACACTTCTGGATATTGATTGGTTCAATACAGCGTGCTAAAATACATGCTACATATTTACTATATTTCCAAATACAGCTATGATGTGAAATACCTGTCCACCTAGCTAACATATAATTTGTCATCAAGATTACACTACATTAAATCCACTAAAAACAAATAATAGAAAAAGCATTACTAAAAGTGCATACATAGTTATATGATTACATTTATTTTCATTTATTTAAATAATTATTTATAATTTATGTACTTTTAATTATATTTATTTTTTCTTATTATTTGTTTTGATGCGTTTTCTTTTTTAATTTCATTATTTATTTTATATCCTGACTGTAACATATCAAACATGCTCTGCTGAAAATGGTCTTTCACATCAATTAAAGTCGCTGGGTTTTTACTTCCAGGCGGAAAATAAGACGGATGCTCCGTCGCAGATGAACTGAGAGTCAGTAATTCAATCAGACTGGATGGAGAGTGGCATGATGGGAAGGCAGAGCTTATAAGATTCAATTACTACAGCATCTCTCTTCAAAATTTTACACACACAAATCCATTACAGGCTTCAACTTGTCCTTCAATTTTATGCATTCTGACTTATTGCAATAAAGCATAAAATAAGCCTCCGGGCTGATCAAGCAGTTTCAGGACAGGAGATAAAGCTTCATGCCAGAATACTGCTACAGTATTTTAATGTTCACCATACGGCCTGTGCATCCTCACAACCAGCATGACATACAGGATCTAGAGGTCAGGGAGTATTATGTAAGATTAATATTTCGCTCTTTAGTTGATTTGAAGGTCAAAAACAAATCTCTGTGTTCAAGCCTGATACATCTCAAAAGATTGCATCTTAGGTATTCATGCACTTAAGCACAATGGTGACCAGGGGTTGGCTCGTTGCACCACTCAAGGTCACCATGATTCTTTTGTTTCTTGTTTTATACAACCACCTTTTCAAGCCAAATGTCCAAGGTAATTACTTTCAAAGCACTGACACGCCAGTCTCTGGGTTATTATGGCTAGTTATTTTGCTTTGCGCGGCTGACCAATTAAATCACTGTAAAATTATGTATGAGCCGGTCTTTGGTTTTCAAGTAAAGGTTAATGGAAACGAGGCATCTGAGGCATTACACGCTGTCATCAAATCACTGACCAGCAACCACAGTGGCATTTTTCTATTGTTTTCTAAGCAAACGGCTGGTTAATTTTTACACTAATCTTCCAGAAACAACAATGGACAAAGCCGGCAAAACAGGGTGAGATCATCTTGTAGTCTGCCATGTGTGCTATGAAACTAATTCCATCTAATTCACAGGATGTAAACGGTTGAGTATGTTACTGAACATAAAATCTAGCGTTAGTTCTGGCAGGTCACGTTAGTCAAGCTCGCATCAGCTGACTCTCAGCTGATCCCCATCAACCTATGGGAATACGACACCTATCTAAGCATTCATATATAAGGTCCCTCAGTATTAACAGCAGTTTTCGCATTGCTCAATAGCTAATTACCCTTCTCCATCCCCAACTCCTCCGCTGTCAGTCAGGATTCAGCCTTCTGATTCTCTTATTCTAATTCTAAAATGTGTACATAACATTATTGAACTTTAACGATATCTGCAATACATTTATGTTGGTTCTGTTCTGTTTACCCTGGGGGCTTATCGCTGCTCTCCCTGCTCTCATCCATGCTAGGCTGCATGGATGCGCAGGTAGTTCTTGCCCAGAATGGAACCATACCGCCAATCCAAACTGTATTCTAATTGTCAATCATCTTTGACGATAGTGGTCCTGACAGAAACACATCTGAGAGATGGCGATAGTAACATTACAGTATGACAGTCTGATGTTTATTACAAAGGCAAGAAAAATTTCTGCCTGAAAAGGCACTTGCAAGGTATTAGTAAAGGCCAATTGAAGCACTTTTCTTTGTGATGGGCTGATATATTAAAGAGATGCTGAAATATAGTATGCTGATTTATTAAAAAGACACTAATCTCAAATTGTCTCTTACCTAGTTTGGAGTGTCCGAAACAAAATACACAGCCGTCCGCTCCATTGACTACAGACTGGATGACCTCAGCCACAGTTCCTGCACAAACCTCTGCCTGCCAGGAAACAGAGAACAGCCAATCAAATTCATGCACTGCAAAAATAACTAAAAGAAAAAAAATGCATGACTTAAATTAAATAAAGGATTTTTGATTGTTTTTTTTTCTAACTTGATTTCGATAAAAATTATCTAAAATATTTAAACAAAAGAAATTTACTTGAGAAGATTTGTTTTCAGAGAATGTACTGTAACTTTGATAAAAGTGTGATAAAAGCAGTTTTTTCACTTAATATTTTTATTTTTGCTATTTCATGTAAAAATCATTTTGAATAAAAGTGTCTGCTAAATGAATACATTTTAATGTAAATTATTTTTTAAAGATATTTTAGTTACAGAACATGTGCAAAAAAACAAACAAACAAACAAAAAATCTTCTGTCCTTGTTTTATCAACTACCCATTCATGCTTTGTGGTTAAAGATCTGGGTTGGTAACCTTGTATGTACAAATCCCATAAGGGGTGACATATAAACAACTGCCATTTTGCCTTTAACCTTAATCAGCATTGTGAGGAACCTCAGGCTGCTCCAGAGGGACTGTCCCTGTATTAACAACATATTGTTGATTTGTACAACAGTGTTGGGCAAGTTACTCTGAAAATGTAATCAAATTACTGATTACTGATTACTCCTTAATTTATTTGATTTAGATATTTTATGTTTAGATATTTCTAATAATTTCGAATAATTTTATTCTCCCGCATCCCGCACACACACAAGCGTCTACCCGCCGCACCAGCACTCACCCATCTTGTCCCGCGCCGCACTCTGTTGCGTCGGGTCTCGCGGGAGCAAGTCTCTAATCCACTGGCACTTGACTGGACAGTGCGTGAGCTACATCCTTTTTACAGTCTCTTTGTACAATGAAACGATTGTTTTTGCAATTCCGTTTGGTGACTCTAGTGGCAGAAATTACACACTGCATGTTTAATGGTTACCACAAACTTTAAAGAGTAGGTCATATGAGTTTTCGAAAAATATATTTTTTGCAGTTTGTAACGTAGCTATCCTTCAATGTAAACAGTCTGCAAAGTTGTTAATCAAAAAGTGCATGATAAATAAAGATGTTTTTCAAAAGAAAGAGTCGACTCTGAACCGACTTAACGAGTCGTCATATTTTTGTATCTTCTGCCTGTTACCTATATACGTCACAAGATAAGACATTTACATAATCCCCGCCTGCCCGTGAAGTATGAACACTCTGACCGGCCCACAAACACTTCCGCTAGTTAGTGTGTTTACATCATGTCGAGAAGACGCTGTGTTTTCAGCCTTACTGGGCATACTAACACAGTTCCCACACGTGCACCTCAAATAAGTAAATAATAATAATGAATGCAATAAATCTGCTGTCATATCAAGTACCACATACAAAGTTTAAACTCACCACTGAGAAACGTCCTGATCAAGTCATGCTTGCGATGGAGTTTCCGTTGAGCGACTGCATCGGTATCATCCTCGGACTCGGGCTCGAATTGATAAGGTAATATCGATGCTATTTTTGTAACCTTATAGCATCTTTGTTTACAAGTAACCCTCCGGAGCAAAAAAAATAATTATTGTAATAGGCGTTTCGTTTCCGCAGAGTAGGCTTATGGAAGGGAGGGGTTTACAGACCGTAAGCTCAGGACTGCTTCGAATGAATCGTTTCGACATCATTGAAAAGTTATTCTAATATTAAATGTATATTCTGAGAAAATTACAATGTTTTATGACCTTGGATGCATTTAAACCTGTTGTCGGGGACTCCAACACAATATTAGGACACTTTAAAATACCATATGACCTGCTCTTTAAAAGTAGTAACTATCTCTCACCTGAGAGGCATCATGGGAGAAGGCTGCATCAAATGCAAACATCTTTGGAGGAACCTGGTTGGAGCTGCCACGTTTCTGAGTTTGATTCTGCTGAGAATTAACTGCTGGATCCATGATGGTCACCTGCTTCTTACGAGAATCGACCTTCAGGAACGAGCTGGACTCTGCTGCGCTGACAGGCGATGAAGGACATACGCGTACCATCACTTTAACCTGCACACAAATACAACAACATCTGCTCAGTAATACAGCATATCAAAGTGGCATGTTGCACAGCAACAACCTCTCTGCGAGTAACACCACAACCAATGTTTTTGTGAACAAAACAACATTCTGCTTGAGGGAGAACAAGCTTTTTAAGTAGGTTTATGGCTTTGTCAAGGGTTGACAGATTGTGGAAAGTTTGCATCTCCTTTCTGAACACTTCTCCTATAAAAGCACCTTGCCCGTTTCAAGTGGAACTTTTTGAAACTATAAACACCCCAAACTTTAACATGTTTATGCCATTTATACCATTTTTGACAGAACTGTGTGCTACTTAGAGAGTTATTCATAACTCTTTAATATTTCCCAGTCAAATATGTGGAGACACCAGGCAAGCATTAAAACTCAATAATGCTGCAAAATGCAGTTGCAAGATTAAGGAAAAGGTACGCCAAGTAACTTCAGCTGAAGTTTAGTTTGAGGAACTTATATTTACATAAAAACTTCCTCTAAATAATAGAGCATAATAATAGCACAGTCTACAAAAAGTGTTGTGTATAGTCAATACGTCTGGATAAACAGACTGCGCATCCACCAAATGTTAGATAAATCTAATAGCTGAACATTTACTTGTTACTTGAAACTCATTCTCCAACTACGTTTAAATAATGTAATAAATCATCTAATATAACCTATGTACCCTTCCATATGTGTCTCACATACACGCATAATAGACATCAAACCTAATGCCGTGTTTATAAGCGTGTGCTCAGTAAAACCATCATTGACTGAATGTAATTACAGATTAGTGGACTAGAACACACAAGTGATTGTTGGAGCTCTGCAGAAAGACAGGGGATAAATCTTGGGTTTCCTTCCAACTCAAACTTGGAGTGTGATACTAGAAGCCCATCTAAAGACTGCAAAATCTGATCTAAAGACTGATCTTTCACCATTCCTTTGCAGTCTAGACACAATGACAATGGTCAGACATACTTGACTCACAACACAGATATTCAGGACAACAAGGCTGCATTTATTTGCTCCAAAAAATACAGTAAAAATGATAATATTGTGAAATGTTATTAAAATTTTAAATTGTTTTAAAATGTAACATATTCCTGTGATGCATCATTACTCTGGGTTTGTTTGATTTTTAAATTTTTTTGGACTTTGTTCTTTTGAACAGCATTCATTTGAAACAGAAATCTTCCGTAACATTATGTATTTAATGTCACTTTTGAATCAATTTAATGCATCCTTGCGAAACAGTGCATTATGAAATATCTTCAAATAACTGGACTACACATATTCACACTAAATAAATAGCCCAGGATGAAATGTTGACCTATTTAATGCCTCATCCCATTTATAAATGCCTCCCTGAAGTAAATTCTCCTTGGTTCTCTATAAACTGTGACTAATACGCTTTCTCTCTGAGTCCTTGCTTGTTATGAAGATACGGAAATGTGGTCACAGAGCAGCTCAAGGGGCAGTTATAACATCTGTCATGCTGTGAAACGTAATTACTGAAATCAAAGCATTAAAGATTAAATTTCAAGTTAAGTACATATTCAAACATAAATTTTTTCTGACCCTAGAACAGTACAGCAGTTCAGCATGTCTTCTCAATGCAAAGCCAAAATCAAAGCAGCAGACATACAGTAATTACTTTAGAAATCCAATCTCGACGCCATATGGATTAGCAACTATAATACCATCATCATTACACTGATAGACATTTTGATAAAGCAGGAAATTTGCTTCTCTAGAGTATCAGAGTTATTCAGGCATCTATTTGTTCTGAAGCATTGTGATTATTGGTTTACCTTTAGATGATTGTTTTAGTGCACAAAGATAATGAAAGCATCTCTCAAGATATATTTTTTTCTAATTTATAGATCAATAAGTGATTTGAGATCATATGTAGAGGAGATTTCTCTGTTATTGCCTCTGGACGGGAGAGAGAATCCTATAACAGTTCAAGTGGATTTCACCAAGATCATTATATTAAATGACAATTTCCGATTTTTTTTCTTTTTCCAATTTTTAAATAAGGACAATAGATGAAATGGTTTATACCAATTGCTCTTTCATTTCCGCAATGAAATGAAAACATTTAGATTTGCATTTATTTTGTAATTTATATTATTTCTGAAACCTCATAGATAGGTATAATTGATTTTGTATAGAAAATTATATTAATAATAATAATAATAATAATACACAAACCGTGTATAATTGTTTTGCATTACACACAATTCAATTAATATATATTCATATATATTTTTTAAAACAATGCAGAAGAGATTTATACCAACAGAAGCTACTAAGAGGCTATTTAATATGCAAGAATTAATTACATTTAATTTGAATATCAACTTGTCAGATGTTACTCCTAAATTTCCTTAGCAGAAATAAATACATAAATAAATAAATATTTATATACAATAACAGAATAAAATGAAAAATAAATTAAATTAATTTTGAAGAGAAATACATACTAAAATCATACTAAAATCTCTGACTTTTGATTGCAAACTTTTGTATCTTGGCAAATCTGAGCACAGTCCAGATGTCTTCACATGACATTTCTAGTATGACATCTTAAAGGAAAGATCTGAGAAGCAGGAAACTACAAGAAACAAGTAAAAAATTGTACATTTTTGCCTTCTCTGCATGGGAACAGACTTCCAGGAATGTCATTATGGTGTGTTAAATATTTCATCCTGGTGTTATTTAATAGCAAAGTAAACCCTGCCTACAGTTTTTGCATATTGCACCTGAATTATGCATTAGGTGCATTGTTGAGGACACATCACACACAACACTTCTGGACTAACCTGCTGAATATGTGCGCACAAATCAGGACAGCTCTTTTGTAGTCTGGGAAAAGAGGAATGCCTGACCTTTGACGCTGTAATGATACAGTCATTTCATGCATTGCCACATCAACCTAATCCACGTGGCAGCATTTCTAGCAATGCAGCAGTAGATACAGCCTGACTTATCTATACAAGCCTATGCGGTCTACTTTTGCGGTAAAGCTCCTCTTTGAGCCATAGTGATAAGTCTCAACACCAATAGCCTCAAACCGGCTCAGATCTAATAACGTGCTGGCAGACAGAATTGAATGAAAGCCCTTTCTACACCCACAGTCCCTGCACTACAAAGAGTCATGCCTTTTTCTGTTCCCAATAACCAATCCTCCCAGGTTTGTTTAGTCACGTCCGGCATCTCTAAGCCCATTTACCACAAATAGAATTTCTTCTGTTTGGTGATTTGCAACCCATTGCCTGCATTGAGCCTCTGATTTTCAGAAGCAGGGATAAGATCACAGTAGGGGGGCTCATTAGGCAGCATATGCGGCTGGATGGAGGACGAGGAGGTGGTGGTTGTCTCTCTATGAGCTCTCACGGCTCTTGTGGGTGTGAGCAGTTTGGATAAAGCAGCACGACTAATTAAAGGAGATGCTCTCTTCTGGGTTATTACAGGTCTTTAAGAACACTGGAGCGAGAGCCAAACCCACATACTCACTCAGTGGTGCCCACATAGCTACTGTTTCTCATCATTACATTATAAAACCTCATTTTATTCATCCCTAAATAAGATACAATAGCCCCATGAGTGACACTTAAAGCATACAGATGTCACTGTATTATAAGCTAACAAATAACCAGATGAGATATGCAAACAAATAATGCTTTTCTCATTTCTGACTTAACTTTTGTTGACCATATTTGCTATTACTTTCAATCAGATGATCCCAAGGTGAATTTAGCGCATATTGTTTTTGCTTTAAGAACCAGCATAGACTGCAGTGTTACCTGTACTGTTTTCCAATAGCTTAATCTTCATCACCACGGCAAAATATTTCATATTTTGATATATTGATATATTAAATATTTCATATACTGATATTTCATATATTTCATATTTTGCCTGAGTCGTCAAAATGAGTTTGTTTTGAATTTGATATAGGTTAACAATAATACAGTGCACCGCAAAACAGTGGCAAACCCCCCCCACACTTTTACTTAATTGTTTCGGCAGCGTGCACACGTAAACAAACACAATACGCGTCATGTGTAGGCTGATTCATTAACAAATGATTCTAATGATTTGTTTCTTTTTAGTAAATCAAAAACATACAACGCAATCTGTGTGATCTTTTTTTACAGTCTATGGTGTGTAGACCAATTCACAAACAAATGACTCTTATAATCGGTTTGTTTTTAGTCAGTTTCAAGAACAACTGACCCTTATGAGCCGGATCTTTTAAAGGAATCAAATATATACAGAGCGAACAGTGAGTCGTTCAAAGGACGAGGTTACTGAATCAACATCTGACTCGCTTTGATTCAGTTGACTCTTCAGTTTTCAGTGATGCCCATATCAAATTACGCACGTTTTGTGATAAAATGAATGAATGAATCTTGGTTACCTTAAGGTCACTTCCTGGTGAAAGCATTTGCACACTTGTATGGGATTTGTGCATAGATTATGATACCATTTGTTCATTGCTTATATATTTATTTTGTTTCTGCATACATGTTATGCTTTATTCCCTGATATTTACAGGAGAGTTAAGAAAAATATCATGATGAAATGCCATTTGAACACTTTTCATTTCAACAATTGATTTGATTTATATCATGACATTTGAAGTATGAACCAGGGATGCACAGATCTTATCCAGCTACTTATATGCTTGTAGCCATGCAGAGAAAGCAAGCTTCATATTTTATAGTGGGCTGAAAGATCCCCTCTTGGATTACTCTATAGAATCATTAAGCCTGCAGTTGATATGTCCATTATAATAGATAGATTAGGGCAGAACAGGACTTTATCTCTGCTATTTTCGATATACATGTTGCCCCTTGGTAATATTATTAGAAAATACGGGATTAGCTTCCACTGTTATGCAGATGATACTCAACTATATATCTCAACACAAGCTTTAATCTGTTATCTTCCAGACAGGGTCTGCAAAGTTGAATTAAAAAGACATTTACATGTAATATAACGTTGTGAATCATTCGCTGGTGTCATATTTCCTTGCCGTGTAAACTGATATTCTGTTTTACACAGTTAAATTATCACAAGAATATTGGGATGAATATTTCAGACTATTGAATTCACATGCGCTCTGCTCACTCCATGATGCCTGTAAGGTGTTTTTCTTTAACACCTCAGTTTTAGAAAGCGCTGTTAAAAATTGATTAGCCACTGAATATAATTTTTTTTTCAAGGTCAGTGCCTGCACTGTCCAGAAGATTGATGAATCTGTCAAACTCACAGGATTCCTATAAAACCACCAGAAATGTGGATAGTGAGGAATGGGAAGAGTCTCAGAGATGAAACAGGATTTAGGAAAAGATTCGCTTTGACAGCTTTGATCTGTTAAATTCAATGGATATATGTACAAATGTAGCATCCAGATGTGTTTGAAAATCACCCATCAATTGCTTTATCATTAGCAAGATAATGGAGATGCCCTTGGTATTTAATCTAGTCACACTGTCATAAAACCCTGATGGTGCAAATCATGTTCACTGTGTGAATTGGTGCGAAACCGCAAGGCTAGAGATGAAAGAGCAACATCATTCACACACAAACATTCAGAATGAATTCTTAATTATATTCACATCATCATGGAAGAAGAATGTCACATGTAAATTTGCCAGAGTGAAAATCACAATTTTATTTCAGATACTGTTTTTTATTTAATTAGTTCTACTCAGTGCAAATACGAATTATATATCTGTGTTTTTCATCTCTGTCTCAAAGCCGATCACTTTCTTTGGGCGCCACAAAAGCAACCGTATAGAGCAGCTACACCCATCAATATCTTATCGCACAATGTTCTTATATCCAAAGGCCACTGTTACAGCCTTGTCCCTTGAGAAAGGTGACATTTTTCGGCTGCAAATGCCAGAATTTGCATTGCCCACCATCCTGCTTATGTTCCGGTTGACTGGCGAACGATTCATTTTAGTTTGCCAGCACAACGCACAACATGCAGCCTAAATGTGGGTGTTGTTTACAGATGAACGCAAGCTGTTCCAATGCAAGATGACTTTTTATGAACTCACCGAAAGTTCTCAGTATGTGGTTAATTATGAGTCTCTCAAAATCAGCTTTCAAAAATTTGACAGAAGATGCTTTTGACAAACCCACAGCCATATGAGCTGGTTCTGTTTAGTTAGACTTTTTGGGAGGTGCCAGCACTAGATATCATGACCCGAATCGTCACAGACTGAGTCCAAACACAAATGAATATCCCCCATCCTCTGATGTCTGAGAGGAATTCCAGATATGCTGGTTTCCCTGCGATACGCTGAAGATCAGGATCAACTTTCACCATGCGGGGCTCCTCCGCTGTCATTGCTCGTACCAATGCATGCGTTTGACGGATTTTGTCTGTACGAGAGCTTACTCGGGTGGTTTTAAATGAAAAAAACAACAACTGATAGCAGAAATCAGTGATGCGAACGGTGTGCTGACTGAGCATGTAAATTGATAAAGGAATGTAGCCGTAAAGACAGGACAGAGAGACAGACAGAGTGACAGAGGGCTGAAGACTTTCCATTATGTTTGGTTGAGGGTACTGAAATAGCTTTTGCAGGGTATAATGATGCTGGTTTACTAGCGATTCAACTGAATGGTTTTCTGATCTGTGTGGTTAAGGCGTTGGACTTAAGATTCAATGGACAAATTTCCTCGTGGGTTCGAACCCCACTCCTGGTAGATCAGTGTGAATTTTAAACAGAAAACAGTAATTTGGCTGAACAGTATGTGGTTATTTTACAAACAAATTAGTTTCTCAAAACTAGTTCTTAAGTACCAGTAAAAGCAACAAAGGGTTACTTTGCATTACAAAGTGATCAGGATGGCTGAGTTAAGGTGTTGACTTAAGAGTCAATGGACAAATGTCCTCATGGGTTCAGACCCCAATCCTGATAAATCAATGTCAATTTCAAAAAGAATATAGCAAAGTGGCTGTGTTGGAAATTGAACTGAGGTGTTTCCTATAAGATCCAACAGACAAATGAGGATTCAAACTCCAATCAACTAACTTCTTGACTATATTGAGTTTCGGTAATAACGTTGTTGAATATCCTGCCTTTGTATTCATTCAAAATGGATTTTACATCAAATGTGAGGAACAAATCAGGATTTATACAGGCAGAAACTGACGTGAAAATCTTCTTTCACATACATCAACAGTTCAACATTGAACCAGCTGAACCATAAGAACATATTTGTGGGCATTATGTAAGTAGAGTTAATTTGTTTACACGTTTTGTTTTATTTTATCTCATTTCGGAAATTGTTATACGTTCACATTAAGGATCATTATATGCACGCCTTAAATGGGGCCCCTAGAAGGTTCTGGTTCATGATCTCTTTTCACCATTCCTCTCTTAACCAAGACATTTAACCTCGGGTTGCTTCAGGAGGTCCGTTCCTGTAATAAACACCCTGTACTTCCATCTGTTAGGAAGGAAAGTATATGCTAAATGACTACTATATTAACAATAGCCTTATGGACCAGCCAGGACAGATGAGAAGAACACCCAATAATGTAGTATGTCATATCAAAGGTATATGTTCCTCTGCCTTCATGCATCTTAAACCTCTCTTCACCTGCATCTCTCCTGCAGCAGAACACTTTCACCTGTGTACATGTACTGTATTCTGCAGGCAACATTCTCTCGTATCCACCCCATATGTTCTCTCACGCTGCCAAATCACAGATCTGATGCCGACATTTCTCAGCTAGCTGTGTTTTATGACGCCTGTGTCACAAAATTAAGACTGAAGGTGCTTTCATTTCACCATTTATTATCATTTTGGCCCAGTTTACACCTGATATTAAAGTGATAGATTGTCCAAAAAGCAAAATATTGTCATCATTTACTCACCCTAAAGTAATTTCAAACGTGCATGACTTTATTTCTTCTGTGGAACAAAATGCATGGAATCCATAGAAAATGCATCTCCTGTAAGCACCTTTTGTGGGAAAGACCTCTATTTTTGAACAGATATTAATACCAGGTGAACACGCGGTTATTTTCTTGTTTAATTATATTAAAATGTGTCTGTTTTGCCTCCATCCTGTTGCCCATTTGAGTCTGCTGTCCTTGGCCCTTTGTTTTCAGTTAATGAGCTCACCTTTGAGCTCTGAGCAAGATACAAAAGAAACGAGATGCCATCACATGTTCAATCGATCCAGCCTTAACGCCCCAGTCCTGCCTATCTCATCAGAACTTACACAGCAGTGCTGACAAATGAGGCTCTGTGTTCCTTCAGGTAGCATGCAAATATCATGGCAAAAACACCAACCAGGGAGGCTGAGTGCTTAAGGCACTGTGCTTCCAATGGAGTTCCACTGGACAAATGTCCTTGTGGATTCAAACCCCACTCCTGGTAGATAATGTCAATTCTAGCTTAAATGAATCATTCATCAAACTAATCAAGAAAACCTGCTTTATCTTATAGTGATGAGAGAAAGCAGACTCTTGAATGCATATTATAGAAGCTATTTCTAACCTACAACCCAATAAAAAACACCAGGATGGCCGAGTGGTTAAGGTGTTGGGTTTAAGATCCAATGGACAAAACCAAAAACTATAAACAGTTATGGAAAAACTACATTACTTCTGTCCTACAGCAGATAGTTAATTTGAACAAAGAACTGATGGACAAAACGCCAAAGTTTGAATAAGAAACAACATATTTCAGAGTATCTTTAACAAAAGCAGATCAGGATGGCTGAGTGGTTAAGGTGTTGGACTTATGATCCGTGGGTTCGAACCCCACTCCTGGTAGCAGGATTTAAGGTGGACACTAAAGTGATAATCTGTGGCAAACTATAGTTGGTCCACAAGAGAGAGTTATTTGTAACAATGTTAAAGATTAAAAGCTACATAAGCATGATTCTCTAAACTTGAATGTGTTAAACTATGCTTCCTTCAAGTGCACCTGTTACATGAAGTGAGTGATTAACTTTAAACTTTTCCATAAATTGTGTAATTAAAATGATTGAAACACAGCGTGTAAAATTAAAATAACTTCCAAATCCATTTATTACCATTCACTACAAACCTGCTTTCCAAGACGTTTCAAATTGACATGCCAACGTCTCTCTGTATTCTGCAACTAGGTTATCATCCAAAATTTTTCTCACTTCGCTTTATCATTAATGTGCTCGAAACGCGTAATTATGATTATTCCAACTACACTAGAAGGGGACATTAGCATTGGTAGGTGACCATTGCTGCTAGAGCTAAGTAAATAATAAAAGTAGCCTATTCTATGTTGATTAGGTGTTGAAATGAATCTGTTTAGCTTGCAAAAGCATTTACATATGTTCATATGTTGGTGAAAAACAGACTTAATAAGAGTAAAGACTAATAAAACAACAAGATCTAAAAGCAGACATTTTTGCTACATTATTAAAGATCGTACCTTGCCCATGCCAGGAGTGTCTTTAACTTTGTTGACTGCCCGTAAGAGGCAGGGCGGAGCAGGGGGCGGAGACACCTGCAGGATGCCGCTGAAGTTGGTGGGAAAAAGGGGTGGATCACATGCCACAGGGGGCGCAGGGAGCTGCTTCTTCTTCTTGGAAGATAGATTCAATTTCTGGGCAGCCCTGAGGATAAACAAACACAAGCAAAGTTAAAACTAGAACAGATGTGTATATGTATAAAAACGCTGCGACCCCTTGGCTGTTTACATTTATTTAAAGTTTTTGTTTGTTTAGGGAAAGTGTTCTGTATTGCAAGTTTAAATACAGCTTGCAAAGTTCAAATGTAACAATGCAGACCAAAACTGATTTTGTGAGCAATCAAGCAAAGCGGTACAGTTTACGTTTTTCTGTGAATTTCTTGTGTCCATCTCAAAACAGACTGATGAAGATTTGTGAATTGTTAAATGCTCTTTCAAGTCATTACATACACGCCACAGCCAATCAGCAGAGAAAAGAGACATCTGTAAGGTCTTCAATGCCACAACAACAGCATTTCCAGCATTCTTGTACTGCTGAATGCTCACAGAGAACAGGCGAATCTGAACTTACTCAGGAGAGAACAACAGAGAGAAAGAGAGCGAGAAAGAAAAGTACAAGTCAAAGCTGAATATTGTTATGAAATGAAACCCTAAGCCATGCTCCAGAATATCTAAAATTGGACAGACAAGATCAACACCATAAAACAGAACCAGGATGGCCGAGTAGTTAAGGCATTGGACTTAAGATCCAATGAATGTATATCCTCATGGATTCGAACTTAAACTGCTTTTATGTTGTCAATACGTTAGAAAAGTAAAAAATCTGACAGGGGCCAATTGTGACTACTTGGACTTGAACTTGAAAATGGTTGTCTATGCCTTCACTGACCACCAAACCTCAACATTGTCCTTACAAATGGGGTCCAAGTAACTTATTTCTCCATGCATCAAGAAATCACAAACAGTGGCAACCAAAGTAATTGAGTTGATCCATCTTCACAGGATGATTGTACTCGTGGATATCAGGTGAAATCCTTGTGTATTTAATGCTTGAAGAAATATTGAGAATGGCTTTGACTCAGGAGCAGGAGAAGTGAGGGTCGATTGATTCTAACCATGGTCTCGCTGCCTGTTAGAGACTGTTTCAATTGGCTCTTAGAGAAGTATTGATCAATCAGTCTAGCATTTTCACCTGACCAAGCATATCTGTGCAGATGCTCATCACAGCCTCATTTAGACTCCCACTGGATCAGGGATCGGATGATGGAGGCTGAAAAACTGAAACACCTCAAGTGGTCAAATACAAAGAGACATAAAGGATTTTAGTGCAGGGATGAAGAGAGTGGTGATCCGAAAATATGGCATGGCATGGGATAAATAATTAGTTTATTTGTTGCTAGGGACCCAGAAAAGGATTGCAAAACATATTTTCCAGACCCTAATCTATTTATTATTGTTTTTATTGTATTGTATTCTATTGTATTATTGTTAAAATATTTCAATTTACACCCATGATTATGCCCATAAAAGACAGAGGAAAAGCGGCATAGAAGTAGGTCTGTATATGTTCTCCCATACAAAAAAACAAGTTCCCCCAAGTTCCATTTTATTTATATTAAGGCTACTTTGCAAGAAATAATAATAATAATAATAAAACGTGTACTGCTTCAGGTGCATGAAAAAAAAAAGATTAGGATTACTATCTGCTCCATAAAGATTCCAACTAAAAAGCCTAGTAGAATTATTATTTTTGTATTATTATTAATTTTTTTTACATTTTCAAAGTTACTGTTTTGATGCAAAAACAGTATTAAAACCTTTTTATAGACTATTTTAGTCTGAATCTGTATTCACTGTGTGGATATAAATATTGTAAAGACCTTAGTAGTAAGTAAGAAAGAAAGGTTAACCAGCTTTACCAAAAAGACCATGCTGGTTGACAACAGCAGGCTACAGTAGCCCACCTACCAGATGTGCACTAACCAGCACTGAAATTCATGCTGGTCTAAGCAGATCTTTTCAGCAGGAAAGACAATTAGGCTGCTCTTTTCTATTTGGGTGCACATTCTAAAGGTCTTGTTGGTGCGTCTGGCAGTGATGCTTTAATGAACTGAACAGAGCTAGAAAGGTAAGAGACATCAAACACAACATGACAGGGCAGATCTACACTCCAAACTTCAACACAGACATCATCACAAACTTCCTCCCAAGGGATCCAGAGGATGCGTGAGTCAAATTTTCCCAGATTAGCAGAAGGAAAGTGTCAGTTATTTCACTTTGCAGTAGTATTACCTTGAAGCACAATCAGTCATTTTGAAGCTCTCCACCTTTGCCAACTTGTGCAAATCTATTCAAGGTCAAAGATACAGACAGGAGAGAAAGACAGCTCACAATACAGGCATCTGCGGTAGCTCAGGTCTCCTGGCACTAAAATCACTTCACATCATATAGAAATACACCTTCAGCCTCTGGCTATCGTAGAAAAAATCGAGAACTGTGGTTCAGACCTGCTATTTGATAAAGCAAAGAAAATATTTTACGAACTGATCAAATTTCTGTCGAGAGGAGTGGAGAGAAGTGGTTACTGTAAGGGAAAAAATTGAGGCAACAATAATAAACACCCTGGCAGATAAGAGCAGGTTAAAATATAGCTGGAAGTAATAATAACACTCAGTGTTTGTGTATAAATCAGGTCTAGAGATACAGTTACCGTGCAAGCTATGAAATCATCAGACTGAGCATTCTGGACGCCAACGGTATGAGAAAACTTCCTTAGAAATGAGACAAATTATCACCTGGATTCATTGTCAGGGATATGAAGTGTGTGTTTGTGTATAAAAGATGTGTGTAACCCCCTAAGGCTTGTGACAAAGTACATGGCTGTGCTCCACGACGATGTGTGAAGTGCAAAGTGAGGTAATTATTGACACTCATTAATGTCAGAAAAACAGTTTTCTCTCTCACACACATCGTTAACGAACACAATGACCAAATCCTTAATGAGCTGGCAAGGAAAGTCTTGTAAAGTTTGACGCAAACTGTTGTCTCCACCATGTGCTTCTAATTTGAGCCCTCTTGTCCTACATAAATAAACATAGCTTACCGTTCATTGTTACCTGCCTGAGACAGACCTGAGGAAACTAGATGGAAATTATTCTTGTTAAAAGCCAAAACACGTCAACAGGGAAATTGTATGAAAATTAGGAGGACACTTTGCTTGAATTGGCTTGAACCAAACTCAGGCGAGATGTGAATGTGTTATTTTGAAGAGGCGTTAATGAGATTTCCTTAAATAGCTTCTTAGAGGAACACTCTGATTTAGAAAACAGAAAACATCTCTCCTTCTCATCATCATCTCCAAAAAAGTACAACTTACATAATCATTAAGTCATCCTAACCCTCATAAGCACATAATGCAATATATAAACACAAAATAAAATCATTTAGCCATTAAATTAAAGCACAGTCACAAATATATAAACAATAAACTGTACAAAACACACTGCCATGATGCTAGGGAGTTCTAGGTGGTTGCCATGGCATTACCATTCAGTTGTTAAATTCTTCTGTTTATCAACATGTTGCTATGGAGTTGCTAGGGTGTTTTGGATAGTTGCCAGGGCATTGACGTACAGTTGCTAAGGCCTTCTGTTTGTCAGCCTGTTGCTGTAGCATTGCTAGGATGTTCTGGGTGGTTGTCAGGGCTGTTGCTACAGTTGCTAAGATATTTTGCCTGTCAGCATGTTTCTATGCTGTTGCTAGGGTGTTCTGAGTTGTTGCCAGGGCATTGCCATACAGTTGCTAAGATCTTCTGATTGTCAATATGTTGCCTATGGAGTTGCTAGGGTGTTCTAGGTGGTTGCCAGGGCATTGCCATACAGTTGCTAAGGTCTTCTGGTTGTCAGGATGTTGCTATGGAGTTGCTAGGGTGTTCTGGGTGGTTGCCAGGGCATTGCCATACAGTTGCTAAGGTCTTCTGGTTGTCAGGATGTTGCTAGGGTGTTCTGGGTGGTTGCCAGGGCATTGCCATGCAGTTGCAAAGATTGTTTGGTTGTCAGCATGTTGCTATGGCGTTGCTAGGATGTTACAGGTGGCTACCAGGCCATTAGTATGTGATTGCTAAGGTAAATGTATCTGAAGTAAAGGCCTGTTCACACTAAGAACAATAACTATATTATATTAATATTGTTCTTGTGGTGCTATGCAGTTACTAGGTGGTTAGTTTTGAACTATACGCTCAAAGCATACACTCAAAAAGGTGAATATTTATTTTATAATGAGTTTTTATCATAAATCTGACCTCCACATAGTCTCATCTTAGATTTCTTGAGTAGTAGAAACCTACCCAAAGTAAGTCCCAATAAAACTATACACCAAATTAACTCAAACAAATGTAAATATTTAGACAAAATGTTAGAGAATTTTGTTTCACCTTAGCAAACAGCATTAGCAAGACATTTCAGTCCAGTGAGGCTAGAGAAAAAGATTACTTGTTTCTCACCTGTCCATCATTTAGGGGGCCCGAGGAGCCCTAAGTGTCCAGTTCTGTCTTCCTGTCCGCCTTTAAACAGGTGTCCACCAGATTGAATGTGTAGTCTGACAGCTCATCAGGAATCCATTAGTTCTCCGTGTTGTGCTATTTGTGTATGGTACATAATGTTGAGCGTCCTCTAATGTATCCGCAGCAGATCGACCGAAGCGGTTCCTCGGCAATAAACAGATAGCTTAATCCCCACACCTGAGCACTCCTGACTGCCTACGCTCCGGCTCGCCAATCTCATCTCTCCCTCTCTTCCTCTCTCTCACACTTTGACCATATCTTACTCAGTTTCTCTCCCCCATGTCTCTGTTTGGCTTATTCTTCTGATTGCATTGTCCAGGAAAAGATGTCCAGGCTCAAGAAGAAGCGAGACCGGGCGAGAACATCCAAACAGGAAGCAGGGAAGACACAGAGAGGAACAACATCACATTGCTGCCTCTCAGCCCCTGTGCTCAGCTGATAATGTCTACTATTCAATCCCCCCACCAATCTCGTTCTCTCTCTCGCTCGCTCTTTCTCACTCTCTCCATCTGTAACATACCTCACACTTTTCCAAGGATTTCTTTTCAACACCACAGGCAACAGTAAAGTTGGACCCAGTGCTC